AATAAATAAATTAAATAAATAATTAAATAAATAAATAAATAAATAAATAAATAAATAAATAAATAAATAAATAAATAAATAAATAAATAAATAAATAAATAAATAAATAAATAAATAAATTATTATTATTAATTAAATAATAAATAAATAAATTAATTAATTAATAAATAAATTAATAAAAAAATAATAATAATGAAACTGTATATAAGTATAGTGCACCGTGTTATTCATGTGACCGAGCCAAAAACTACGTGTTAAAAAGTTATAACGCCAGTTATCAATGTCGTTAATGTTGGAACTCATCAGATTGTATCTAAATGACAGTTTAAGCGAGTAATTGACCATTCACGAATCTAGACCAAGTGTATTGAACGGCTACTCTTATCTTTACCATGTGCTATCTTGACTTAGAAAATTTGGTGACCTGTCGCTAACTCGATAATTTAACAACGTGCACATGTATTGTCCCAGTGTGACACGTTTGGGATGACAATGATATACTATTAATAGAAATGTCTATAATTGGTTATATGTTAATATCGGATTCATTACAATGTAATTCGCTAGTGTAACTTTAGAGGGCGGTGTTTATGTCAGAATCATATTACATGCTTTCGCTGAGTCGAACAAAGAGAAACAATAAAGCCAGCTGTAGGCTGTGGTCAGCTCTAATCAGAGCAGACAGTTTACTTAAACTATCATATGGTACGTAGTTATTGGAATCTACGAGCTTATATCCCTGATATAATTCCCAAGGTTTGATACTACCTTAAATATATTAATCAAACGAGCAATGATATACAAGTTGTAGCCAAGACATATCCGCATTTACATATAAATAAATTGAATTTCCGCCCACAGCATTGGAAGGATGAGAAATTACGCTGGAACGCAAACGAATTTGATGATATACAAGTCTTACGAATCCCGGCCGTGGACATTTGGTTTCCAGATATAACTTTATACAATACGTGAGTTATTACAATCCATATAACTATGCCTTATTTTGCAAACTAATACGTAAGTGTGAGGCGGTAATACACAGCATGATTTATAGTATTGTTGTTTCGAAGAAATAATGTACCGCGTAAATATGCTCACATTTTCTATTATTATTATTAGTAGTAACAATGCAACACACATTTGCACGAGGCTCATTTGTGCGAGACCAACATGCAATTTCAAATTTCAAACTCTGTGTGTATTTAATTTTTCAGAGCTGATGAAAACGGTTTCAGTGTGAACCTGGAATCCAACGCACTAGTTTACAGCAATGGTCAAGTATCACACTGGTCCAAACCGACCCTTCTGAAAAGCACATGCAAAATTATCGTCCGATATTTCCCTTTTGATTACCAGCAATGCCGCATGAAGTTTGGCTCGTGGACTTACAACAGTTTTCAAGTAAACTTACAAAACGATTCCATTGCACCCGATATGTCGACGTTCATGCCCAACGAACAGTGGGACATAGTTTACGCCGTCACCCGACCTCACGTAGTACGCTACGACTGCTGCCCGGAGTCATACCCGGATGTGACGTTTGTGATTGGTCTGAAAAGAAAACCTTTGTATTACGTCTACAACGTAGTGTTGCCGTGTGTGCTACTCACTGCTTTGTCATTGGTTGGTTTCAATATGCCGTTCAACATAGGTGTAGTCAAAGTGTCCCTCGGTGTGATGTTGCTACTGTCGCTGGGAGTGTTTAATCTGCAAGTGTCGCAAACGATGCCAAAAACCTCTGAAGAAATTTCTCTGCTAGGTGAGCGAAC